TATATATATATATATATATATATATATATATATAATATATAGAACCTCGATCATACACCGAGTTCTCTTATCTTAAATACACATTACTTACTACTACTACTACTACTATTGGGTAAAGTATTTTCACGTTATGTTACATCAACGATCATTTTACTTAAATAACACGCAGATTACAAATCAATATTTCTTTTTTAAATTTCACTTATTCAAAGAAAATAATAAATGTCTATTTATTACAGGAAAATAGTTTTCAATTTCAAAAAATGGTTTTCAAAATTGAAGTCTACGTTTTATCAACGTTTTTGATTGACAAGAGACGATTCGAAATTCGAATATTTCATGGAATATAAAAATAGAATAAAAATAAAATAGAAGAATATCTTAGGAGCATGGACGATAAAACGATGCAAAGGGATACGATGTAGCAAGGTACGGCACGGTACGGCACGGTACGTTCACCAATGACCGAGTGGCACGGATCTTCTTCCATCCTTTCCTCTCTTCTCTCATCTCCGCGTCGTGCAAACACTCTGTAACCGCAAGAGTACGGCTCGGTATATACATGTATATGCACATACGTATGTGTAGAAGAGAGTATGACCATGTGTACCTTAGAACCACCGCGAACCTATTCCCCTTCGAATGCAAGGCTTGAATATTTCCAGCGGCTCTCTTTGCCGGTATTAATAGTCCTTACTTTGAGCGTGATATCAGACTTCTTACCTGTGAGTGATTTTCACAGCAAAACCGGGAATCATCATCGGTATTTTTAATTTCATATTTTCAATCGATGAAACTTAATCCTCGTTTCAATGATTCGAACTGATGTCACTCAATTTTAATAATCCCATTCCTAATGAAATTCTTGTCGCGATATAAATCCAAAATATATCGAATAACAATAATTTAAATATACTTTTTAAAAAATCTTTTAAAAATAATAAATTTTTAATTTTATGTAAATATTATGTAATTTTTATATAAAATTTTAATTTAATTAATTAGGTATCTAACAGTGTTAATTAACATATAGATTTAAATTCTTCTCTTTGAAATAACCGAGGTATCAAAAAGAAAAAAAAAAAAAGAATACATTAGAATATTATTATAAGAAGAATAATTAACAAAGTAGAAAATTCTTCATTAATATTAATCGAGGAACGAAAAATTAGAAAATCTAATGTGAAAATTAAAGAGACGAAATGTGAAAGAGGGAAGCGTAAGATTCTCGATGAAAAAAAAAAAAAAAAAAAAAAATACATTAGAATATTTTTAAAAGAAGAATAATTAACAAAGTAGAAAATTCTTCATTAATAGTAATCGAGGAACGAAAAATTAGAAAATCTAATGTGAAAATTAAAGATACGAAATGTGAAAGAGGGAAGCGTAAGATTCTCGCTGAAAAAAAAAAAAAAAATAAAAAATAAAAAGAAAAAAAGAAGGAACGCGATAAATAATCGGAAGGATGCAAACAAGTTGATTGGCTTCGCGGGGAGCCAGCCGCGGAAATCAAACGGAATTCCACTTGCATTGCGTTACGCTGCATTCTCAGCGATCGGAGCCTCCTTGTACTTTCTAATTACGCGTAGGTTTCCCATTCGTCGTGAAGGAGCCTCGTCGTAACGGACGAGCCGGCGCGATAACACGGGCCGATGATTTTTTCGTAACAGCAACCCGCCCGATTATTTCGGAACGCGAATTTCTCCTCAGTGAATTTTTTACCATCGATTCGACACATTCTTACTTTATATATTCGTTCGTTTCCTACCGGGAACAATGAATCACCGAATTAATCGTATCAACCGATGATGTTAATTCGTCTCTCTCTACGGCTTCATGAGTCAAGCATTTATTATTATGTTTAACGCGATGCTTTGAGATGTGAGATTAACGATAGAGATTGCCTCGAAAGATCTCTTATTATATTTTTTTTTAATATATCGATTTTTTTAATTTTTAGTGGAAATTTGGAGTCCAAAAATTCGATCGAAAATCCATTAAATCATCTTCGAATGAGTCATCTGGAGGTAGACAATTTTTATTTAGTTTTATTTTTTTAGGAATGTATATATACGTTTTTTTTTTAATTATTTTAAGTGAAAAAAAGTATTGACAATATTTTATCCTTAAAATTATCTATTTTCAGGATACAAATATTTTTCAACGCGTATTGAAAATATTCCAAGGAAGGAAATCGTCTTTAATCGAGTCTGTAAAATTTCTATTTGATTTTACCTTAAGAAATTTTCAACAAATATTCCGCCATAACGTTTATAAACCAAAACTTATGCGAGCGAAATTGCAGAGGACACGAGGTAGTTGCAGAGAAGATCGGCAACGATGAAACAGGAATTACGATGCAGCGTTGCATACGTTCGCCCACCTTGAAAACAGAGAAGAAAGAGAGAACACCGACGCATCACGTGCATTCATCGGCTCCTACGAATTAATCCTATTATAGCGGAAAGCCTCACCTTCGTCGGCCACATCATCATTGGCGTCGCCGTCATCTGACATCGTCATCGTATTCCCTCGTCGATCCCACACCGCGTGCGAAGGCGAGCCTTTTACGTAATGGACCGGAGGTTCCGTTTGTTTATGTAATCAGATCCCCCAGAAACTCGCGGAGAACGGTTCGACAATTTTGCAATGAATTCACCGTTCATTTCCTGTCCTTTATTCGCTTTATTCGAAATTCAAGGGATTAGAAATAATTTTCATTTTTTTTTTGTTTTTATAATTAAAAGAAATGTGCACATTTTTTGATAAAATTCAGAATATACAAATTTAACATTGATTTAAGTAGTAAATATTTATAGTAAATATTGTAAGAGATATTTTTTGAATTGTTGAAAGAAAGATTGGAATAATTTTACACATTGTATTTTTTTTTTGTTCTAATTCAAAAGATAACTTCTTACATGGTAATTAATTTATAGAAAATTTTATAGCAGAAAAGAAAAAAATTGACGAATAACTTGTCTTTGCATTGCTCTCAGGCATAGTATTTTATTTCTGGTCGACGGTACTCGTGTCCTCGTAAATATCAATTGCAGCGTTGGCAAATCGCGCTTACCATAAAGAGAACGCATCCAGTCGATGGTCGAGCGGGTTACAATCACCGGTATACCTAGTTGAAAAGAAAAAAGAAAAAAGAAAAGGAAAAAAAAGGGAAAGAAAAATGAACGCCATATGTAACTAAGCGATTACGCCTTACAGGATTTACTCGAGAGATTTGATCTTCTCTCACCTTCGATCATTCAGGGACAATCGATAGTTTTCTTAATCGCGTTGCACCGCCATCAAATATCTATTCTACGCTGCTTGTTCAATTGCGCGGTCGCCGATGCGTAAAGACACGTCCTTCGACGTTAATAACAACGATAATGATATCACAATCGCAAAAATGCCGGGAGAGAACTGCGTGGCATCGTTTTTCTGCAATTTTACACGCATCCTTTTCATTCTGATCTTACGGATCTTTTTCTGCAAAGAACGCGCTAATTAATGAACCGCCGACGGTGTTGCATCCGTAAAAGAATGCTATGGGAATGGAACGAGGGTCATCTAAATGAGATCAAAAAATCACGTGTAACGGATATTTGTCAACGCTTTGATAGTTTGTTATTCGAAAATAAGAAAAGGTTCCCATTTCGAGCGCATCGCATGCAAAGAGGTACAAAGTGTGAATAATGAAAAGTATTTTCCAAAGCGACGTGTGTGTTCCCGAGCGTGCGGATTGTTTCGTATTTCTCGTCACGAGTCTGGCCGCGGGAAGAGACAAAAGAAAAATGAAAATGAAGGAAACGAAAGGAGCAAGTGGAACAAGACGATTCACGACGGACAAACGACAAAAGAAGTGATGTAGTATTGTGGAGAAAAAGATAAGGGTAAGGAATAATAAAAAGAAACAGAGGAATCTAATGCCGCTGGTGTACGCAGAAGACAGGAACACGACAGGACAGGCGGACAAAGAGTAAAAAGGAAGCTGGAAGCACGGATACAAAGAGTGGTGGATGTAAATTATCTACAGGCTGTGTCCTCGTTTTTCACGAGGACTGATTACCGTATCTTGAATCTATAGATTTATATTCTAATTTCTGAATAATTTATGAAAATTAAATGTTAACACTGCGTGACTATGAATTACTTGTACAATTATTTATTTATTCTTTCTTATTTTATTTTTTCAGATATTTTATATTTTATATATTATATATTATTTTATATTTTTCTATAAAAATGGAACGTATTAATTCTTGATGTGAAAATTATGTTGAACAATTAATTGATAGTCATATTGTCAATTTATAACACGATAATTCGAATTATGCATCGTTCCATTATCCACTATCAAGATCTATGTTGTTGTACGGAAGATGAATTCTCTATTCTAAAGGGTTAATGTATTCCGACCATCACAATGGCACATAAACGTCACATCAAACGGTCAGTGACAGGTCGGTAAGAAGAGTCGCAAGGAACAAAGTAATCCGGAGGTTGTCTGTTCGAAACAGAAGAATTCACCTGACTGACTTCGTGACCCTAAGTCAAGTCATAGAGAGAGAGCAGACCCGGATTTCCCATTAGGCTAATCATCAAGCCACGGGCTCACGATCTTGAAACATATATCTAATCTTCTCGTGAATGTACGATTAAGGCAAAATTGCCAACATTTTGGCCTCTGAAATAAATTCACGTTGTTTCTAAATGCTCTGCTATCTATTTTCAGTAAACAAAAGTATTTTAAGTGAACAAATGACATATATCTAAATTTTGTAATTATCTTCTATGATGGACAGTATTTATGTTGGTATCTTAAGTATATTCTTAAGCTTCTTTAATTTTAGAAATTTATATTCAAAGCCAATTATCTTATACACGTTCCTATTTAAAATATTCTTAAAAATTTCTAGTAACAGATTATCGTGATGCAAAAAGACGAACAGGAATAGTCGGATCAGGAACAAAGACGAATAATCGCTTCTAATATAATAATAGCCGATGCGTGTATCGGCCTAGGGCTATTTTTTTATACTGTTCGGTCCATCCTAACTTTAAACGCCGGAAGCAGGAGCAACGCGCTGTACCTAAATAGTTCGTCGAAAAAGGAGCCTAAGGCTTCGATGAATCTCTCGTAGGTCAAGATTCTAATAAATCTGCAAGTAATCGCGAATGATTTGCCATTTTACAATCGTTTCGCGAAATTGAATATTTTAATAGTTTCTATTTATGGATGAATTCTTCTAGACGATAGTAACTCCCTCTACATATTTCTAATCCTTGACACTTTAACAAGATACGATATATCAAACGTTATTACCTACGATAAATATTCCTTGCAAGAAGAAGAAGAACTGCCATAAATTAACATCTTCTGAACAATTTGTTATTATTAATAACAAACAAAACGAAATAGAGGAAATAATTCTAAAGTTATGGAGAGTAATTGAAACGATATCGTCTCGAACGATGTTAACCTCAAAGATTATTTGGAAATCGAAGAAACGCTTCTACAGGTACTTCATGGATATAAAGTCTTGCATTTCCGCGTGTCTCATCTTCTCCATATATTAAAGTACCGCTCACGTGACTAGGTTAGGATGACGTGGTCATGGGTTAGCCGGAGGTTACTTCGGAGCTCATCGATTCGCTATTGGCAAATCGCGACTTGGAGGAGCCAGCGGCGGCTTCGTGTCTTCTGGCAAGGAAACCGATATTAATGAAGGAAGAGAGGAGAACAACTTTCACGCGACGACGAGGCTTCTTCGTATCGGAATGCATCTGTGCCCTGTGTGTCTCCCCGAGGGAAAGAAGATCCCTTAGCCGTTTTAATTGCAAATTTCTCCTGCCTGATCTTCTTGCAAATTGTTCAACGGAACTAGTCAAACCATTACCATTAAGGGCTCCTGTGATCAACACTGAATTTCTAACGAAGATCATCTATTCTTTGAAAATAATTTTTATTTTTTTCTTTTTTTTAAGTTATATAACATATTTTTTTTATTTGATTCAGGTATAATAGTAGATGTGGATTGTACATCGAATGAAAAAGAGGTTATGTTAAAGAGATCTTTGTTGCAAAAGCCGACTCTTGAACGAGATGTAATGAACTTCAATTATGACGCTGCCGCGTTTCCATGGGACTGAGACCGCGCAATAAGCTTTGAAAGTAACTAGTAAAGAAGCCAAGTGATTCAGTCGTTGATATTGTGCGCGGAGATGCAGAAAACTTTATGATGCAAGAACAAAAGTATGCCTGGAATTTTACGAGTCTTGCATTCAATTCTTAACTCAAGAATTTTTATAATTATTTATGCGAAATAATCAATATGAAATCAACATTAAAAATATTTTTCTTCATTAAACATTAATCATCATATTGCCATATAGTCACATATAATATCATATCATTACATATAACGTACAGTGATCATTTATTAAAAAATATTTATACTTAAATTTTTATATAAAAGTATTTTATATTTATATTTTATATTTAAAAAAAATATTGTCATTAAATCTATTTTCATCATTTTCTTCATTTTAATCCATTTCAATTTATAGAATATACAAATCTTCTGAAAAAAGATTAATTATTCTAAATTTCAAAAAAAGAAATAGCATGTAAGTAATGAAAGATTAATTATCACATTCCATTTTTCATTTAAGAAATGTCATTTATTTTTATTTTTATGTTTATATTTTTTAGATCATAAAATATAACTTAATTATTCTCCAATTTCAAAAAATATTTTGGAATAAGTAATAAGCAGGGAGAAGATAATTGTGACGATTATTCGGCGTTAAATTGAATCGACAAGTTCATGGTCACGGCAGCTCCAGTGCCATGAGCCCGAGAAAAGAGAAACAGATACCGAAAACGGTACCGGACACGAACGGTGCGTACGGCAGGTGGATGACGCAAGCGGGATGACTTTACTCGTGGTTATCCCTTCCCAAAAGTAAAATTTCTTTCTCCCAGAAGGACTTTACAGCTGACATCTCGCATCTTTCTATCTTCCAAACTCCCTCATTTACCAGTCTCTGATGTCAACTTTCAATAGACAGATACATATGTTGTACAACCATACATCTTTACACAAATTATTTTGCGTTTCAATATATTTAAATTAAGATCATGTTACTTATATTGGCAATTATAACTTCTAATCCATGTGACTAGATTATATTTTTACAATTAATCAATTTTACACTTTATTCTATTGTATTGTGAGTATATCTTCAAAATATTAATATTTTAATTATTGGAAACCTATTAATAAGCTTTCTTTTGAATAATGAATATCGTATCTTCTAATTTTTTTCTTTTTGTTAACAGATTGATACAACCATCCTGAATAATTCAAGATAACCGAAAAAGATATGAAAGCTGGAAATCTATTAATAGATTTTTCTAAGCCGACTAACATCGATGGCGACACACTGATCGAATATCGCGCGCCATGTCTGCCAGAATTTATTGTTTCGCTATCGAGCCGTCCACGATCTA